CGGCGTATCTCTATTTTTAAATCTTCGATTTCAGGCTTAACTGAGGTATGATATATTTGTGGACTCGAGGTTTCCATCATCTATGGATCTTATCAGCTATTTCCGCAATCTGATCTATATCTATTTTTCTATCCTCAATTCCAAGGATTTCCTGAATATTTTTGGGGAGTCACGGAGCCACATTGATTAAACATGTTGCTGCCTATCTTTGTGTCACCTATTATGCTCCTGATGTAATTTGTTAGCTGTGATGGAGTCTTGTCACCAAGTTCTACTCAACTGAGAGGTTGTTGTGGGGCTTGTTGATCGGTCAACGAGATGGCCTTTAAGACAGCAGTTTTTAATACGCGGTATGGCATATCTGGGTCCGGTTTAGCTAAAACATCGAAAGCTATTTCAGCTACTTCGTCCGAGGGCAGTGCACATGTATAGCCGAATTTATCTAGTTGTAAAACGACACGTCCGGCTCACCAATTTATTGTGGCGTTGGATATCTGATAAATTCCGTCTTGATGACCACATTGCCACAATTTCTTTATTATTCAGATTATTTAATGATCGATAAAAATATCGGATTTAATTCAAATATGTATAGTCGATATTGACATCGAATTATTCAAACTGTTAATCAATAAATCTGGTCAAATAACTATATGTGTAGGTTGTAAGTAATGTCCAAGTGTACTCGTGCATACATGCTCAACAATGATAAAAGTACAAGATATATTTGAAGAGCTACAGATTCTTCGTCTGCTGTCTGTAATCTCTGTTGGAAAAGTGTTGAAAACTGCGTCATTAGATTTCTCTCGTATGCTCAAGGGTCATGTGATTGTGATACCAGGTGGCATACGGTATTTAACGGGACATCAGCTAATTTTAGCTAGTCGAACCTATCTAAGTCAAGTTAATTTAGATCAGCTCTCGTTACATAACATATCCCAGTAAGTATCGATTCTCGTAAGGTAACTTCCAATTGTCTTAACAAGCGGATGTAATTATCACATCCAATATGACTCTTCTGTGTTGTCCGCTGCATGCCAGGGCTGCCTATTTTGGTCCAAATTCTACGTGAGAGGATGGTGATATCAGATGTGGTGCCTATTTGCAATCTAAACGAGTGCCCGTTAACATTAGGAATAATATTTTTCCTCGGAACTGGGGATGAGCTTTGATAAGAAGAAATTAGGCTCAAAGAAGTGGTACAGGATCTTGTCAGTCTTCTTGGTACCTCTGGATTAGTTCGTCTTCCTCTTAAGACATAAACCATCTTCTGACGACCGATGACCCTACACTTCCTGCATCGATGTTGCCTAAATGGACAGTTTAGTACATATTGCAATGAACCACAATGCCAGAAAGCAGCAGGAGGATCAGTTTTCGTCTTTCGGACTGAGCTGGAGTGGGATAGACTTGGTGTAGTAGGGACACTCTTATTCTGGTCAGGTGTTTGCTGTGCTACATGCACTTCAGATCGACTGGAATCACCACACTGAACCACATTTGTGTCTCGGTGTAGATCAATGAGGCGTTGGTATTCACTGGCCATGTCACTAAGGGTGAGCTTAGGATCTTGATCTAATCGACACAGTAGCCGTGTTCCTATGCCATCGAACTTTTGCGACTGGAGACTGCAAATCAGGATGTGGGCTTTAAACTGGTCTTCAGACAAATACTTCAAGCGAAAGCGTTCGTACTCATGGTTGACGATGCCCCCATGCGTAAGAAAATCATCGTCTTCATTCATAACTTTCTACAACCATCGATAACAATGACGAGTTGTCGCTAAAATGTTTGCTTAATGTCTGGACTGTATCTGAGAATGAGCGATCTCGTTGGTTCAAGGCCACGTTCAAATTACAGTAACTGTCCAGCTCATTTGCAACCGATGTTCGAAGTAGCAGACGGACCTTCCAAGCAACATCCGGATTGGCAAAATCAAATTTAAATAGATAATCGTACCGCTGGAACCAAGTGTCATAATTAAGAGTGGCATTAGGATCATAATGGAATTCAGTAATACTATTTGTGATGCCGTCGACTGATGGAGCTGTGGTTGCATTAGATGAGCCGGGCTGTATGAAAAGGGGAAATCTTGATATCTGTCAATATCTGCATCAGT